CTGATTACAGAACCGGCATTACTATCAAAATGCGCATGACAATCGCATTCGATTAATCGTGCAGCCCTAATTTCCGATGTGGTCTTTGCGTATTTGCAGCGCGTTTCTGTATTTGGTTGTGTTGTGCGTATTTGCAGCGCATGTGTTGTCAAACTGATGAAGATGTTTTCCTAATTTGATGGGGTTTTTTTCTATTTCTATTTTTCTATTTCTATTTGCAGCACGTTGAGCTCTCTCTGCACCCGTAGTAATGATGAGCATAATGTTTATATGATACTATAGGTCAAGATTTACTTGGAAGAAGAAAAATTTATTCTGAATAGTAATGACATCATATTTTCCTGCCTAACCTGTTGCCATGATGCATTTTAAAGTTTATTTTGTTGTTATGCATAAAAAATATTTATTGAGACAAATATGTATTATTCAATTGCCTTGTGTTGCAATTTCTTTCTGCAAGAATACACTAATTAACAGTAAAGACGTTTATAATGTTACAAAAGATTTCTATTCCAAATAAATGCTGTTCTTTTAAACTATGTATTTATTAAAGTACCCTGAAAATAATGTATAACAATTTCCACAAAAATATTAAGCATGCAGCACAACTGCTCAACATTGATAATAATAAATGATAATAATAAGAAATGCTCGAATTATTTCTGATCAGTAGATGCTGGAAATTCAGCTTTGTCATCACAGGAATAAATTACATTTTAAAAATTATCAAAATAGAATAGTCATTCTAAATTGTATTTCTATTTTATTTTATTTTTGTTCAAATAAATGCAGCCTTGGTGACTTCTTTAAAAATCTTAAATCTTGCCAACCCCAAACTTATGAACAGTATAGTGTATGTTTTGTTTTAAAGTGATTCAATACATTCATAGTTAATATTTTCACAAGTGCTTTGTAAATGAGTTAATGTAAAAAAAAGTGTTATCAAATGGTAATTAGCCTCTAAATGAAATTAATACATAAAACTCTGCTTTTCCTGGAAAGGATTTAAATCACGTCAGTTTAGTCCTTAAGTCATGGAGAAGAGCTTGGTTTGGTCATAGTTGTTGGTTTCTCCTTGTGGATAATGTATATACTGTAATAGGTTATTGCTTCCAGCCTCCAACAGTGTGTGTGTGTCAGAGCAGTTGACAACATTCAAAGTGAACTGCCTTCAAAGTAGACCCTAAGCTTTATTTCTTCACCCCATCCAACTAATGATGTACATTTATATTCTGAATCAGCTGATTCTCAACTAACTCCACTTCTGTTTCTGGGTCGCACACTGAGTGCACAAACAAACTGCTCCACTTTTAAATGACCTGCCATCTAGCCTTTCTTCAGATTGCATAGCCATCACAAGCACAGCCTAACCCACCATGAAGCACACTAGAGCACTGCAGATCATATGCTCACTATACTGCTGAGGCTAACGGTAATACGAGTCATGATGTTCAGACACTATTGAGCTGAATCGATCCTCTGTTCATTCATCCTTTCCGGCCTTTAGCATTATAGGAGATGCTGCACTCTGTAAACCAACACTGCTTTCCTTCTCCTGGTTTAAAGGGACAGTAGATAAAAAAAATGGTATTTTTTACAAATCACAACACTACAAAAATCAGCCCTTTGTTTTCTTTTGAATAATCGCAAACTGTGTAATATTGTGATGAACAAACTGAAATTTGCTTTTTTCTTTCAAACATTCCTCTTAAATATTTCTGTATTTCTGTAACAGTACAAGTCAAGGTCATATGTTTGATTTCCAGGTAAAGCAATGCAAGCAAATGGACTCCATTGCACTGAAATGCATTGACAAAACGGGCTGAATGCCTAAATGTAAATGTACTGCAAATACGACATCAGGCATCATGTTTGAAATGCAAAAACCAGTTATGGTTGATAATGTAACTGACATCCAAAATCATGTTATGCTTCATAAGGTACAACAGAGGCCATTTCTGATAAAAAAGTTGATAAAAAGTTGACAAAAAGGCTGTTTGTCAAACAAATCTATTGTATCACTTCAGAAAACATACACTACCATTCAGAAGTTTGGATTTTAAAAATGTTTTTCAACAAAGTCTCATGCTCACAGAGGTGTAATTATTTGATCAAAATATAGTAAAAATAGTAATAATTGTATATTACTAATCTAAGTTAATTTAAAATAACTATTGTTCTATTTTAATATTTTAAAATGTACGGTAATTTATTCCCATGATGGCAAAGCTGAATTTTCAGCATCATTACTCCAGTCTTCAGTGTCACATGATCCTTCAGAAATCATTCTAATATGCTGATTTGCTGCTCAATAAATATTTCTTATTATTATCTATGTTGAAAACAGTTGTGCTGATTAATATTTTTGTGGAAACCGTGAAACATTTTTTCAGGGTTCTTTGACGAATAGGCTGGATAAAAGCATTAATTTCTTAAAAAAAAAAATCTTATTTGCCCCAAACTATATAGCACACAAGTGTTTTCAGTGTTTTTATTATTATTATGATATATGATGTGAGCAGACATGATCACAATGCTGCTGTGAATATTCCTCAAATTTCTCCTTTCTTATTCCATAAAAAAAAAAAAAACTTTAACGACATCAGGGTGAGAACATATTGACAGCATTTTAATTTTTGGGTGAACTAGTGCTTTAAATGAGGGGGAGGAAAGCAGCTGGCTGGATTAAACTCTGAAGCATCCCTCCCTCTGTTTCTGTCTCTCACTTCCTTCTTCTCTCAGTGCGCATGTCGTACAGAAGAGAGGAAGAACGTCTTGATCTATATTTAGAGGCTAAGGCAGAAAAAGCATCCTACCCACCTCAAGGCCCAACATCAACCAAATCCCCCCCACCCCATGTACACCCCTTCAGACACTCAAATTAAGGACAATGCTCTCTCTGTCTGTGATATGAATTAAATGTATAATTTATCTATCCTGTGGAGCGCCTGGCCATTAGACAACCTGACTGAATGGTTTAAATTTTGTGGAACCTAAGAAAGATGGAGAGCGAAGCATGGAGAAATAAGAAAGGGAGAGAATCTGAGAGAAGGAAGCGCTTCGTGCTTTGCATGCTAAGTTGCTTTTGTTTCAAGGCTGATTCTTTCTTGTAGATGCACTGGCTCTGTCTGTTTTGGAACAGACATATCAAGGCAGGATGAATATTCCCAGCATTCACAGCAACAGGGGCTCAGTAAATAATAGCAGAGCAATTTGTTCTGCTCAAGTTATCAGTCGTTCTCTCACTAATGGTATTCAGCAGATGTCATCGTGGCTTAGATTCATTTGATGACCTGTTACACAATGCCACAGGATGGTGTTAGCATTGAGAGCTTGTTGAGCTTATCATCCAAGTAGTTCACCCAAAAATTGCAGTTCTTATAATTTACTCTTCATCTCATTCCAAACCTGTAGGGCCTATGACTTTCTTTGTTCCACCGAAAGAGATTTCACAGAATGTCCGAGCTGCGCTTGTGCTCTCGCCTATCAAATGAAAGTGGGTGGGAACCAAGAGCAGCCAAGCTTCAAAAAGGACATAAAAGCACCATAAAGCATCGCAAAGGTAGTTCTTATCAATTATGCAATGTGTCAATTGTTTTCCTTTTTGTCAGTAATTGACTGAAATTTAAGGTGTTCACCATTTACTTTTATTGTATGGAAAAGGTCAGCTTGGACATTCTGCTTGGACATATCCTTTTGTGTTCCACAGAAAAAGGTTCATGCATGTTTTTAAAAAGACATAAGGTTGTAGTTAAATGTTCTGTTGTAAGCTGCTTGTTTACTGTTTGCAAACAGATGGGATGGAAATTATTGAATTATTAACCATTAGACAGTTGGCGTATATGATGCTTCAGTGATGATTTTCTAGTCTGATGTACTCTGAACTTAATCACATATTGTTGTCTTAGAGATCTGTGGTTAGTCATTAACCACCCTATGTTTCCATGCTATGAGGCAGCACTCGGTTTTATTTTGGGCTTTTAATTCAGTCTTCAGCTTTGTGTAATTTCTGCCAGAACAAGCTTCGTCTGGCTCTGATTTGCTTGGCCTCAGTTCACTCCAGATAACATGACAGACGGATTTATTCAAGTGTTTTACTCTTTAAAGCTCTGCAGTTTGTCACAATGACAGAAACATCTTTAAATGTGCTGTGTAAGGATCAGCTTTTAAGATTGAATTTTAATAGAATTATTTGTATTTATTTATTGATATTATTATGGTCTGTAAGTATTAATCAAATGATTCTGTTCTTTCTGAGAAATATCAAAGCCCTCACAACTCACAAGATATTATGTGTCCATTAACATTATGGTTTGTCCTAAAAAGTGCATGAGACATATTTGATTTCAATCAGACAGCATTATAGAAATGCTGTGGCGTCTATCAGGCCTTGGCAGATGCATAATTTTGTCTCTCGTGCCATCTAGAGGACAATGTGATTTTTTTGTTCTTTTTTAAATGAGTGCCTTAAGTGCTGAAATTCATGCTTTATATTCTCCAGAGACCTGGCAAAACGTCAATTTTGGCTTTTCAATTTGTATTTTGCATTACATATTAAAAAAATTGTATCATAGGAGGTGCTCTTTAAAGCAACATTTTCTGAACACTCCTTCCATCTGTCATTGTTTAAACAGGCAGACAGATAGTCCTGTGCTTATCTCACATTATTGGTTACTTATAGTTGTTTTAATTAACATTGTTAAAATACTTTACATAGACAGTAAACATTACACATTTTAGCTCTAAGATACATTCTGCAAGATGTAAAACTGAATTACTGTGAATAACTTATTCACAAGAGACTATCATGTGTTAAACCTTCATCTGTGAGTAATTTAATGTCTTAGTGTTATATAGTCTGGAAAGAGTCATCAGTTACAGTAGGTTCACATCCACATACAATGGCTCCACCTTATGGTCATTATTGGTCTCTAACCAGTCTTGGACTTATTGATTTCCACAGCTGTTCACTGCAATCTGACCCAGAATGGGATTGACCATCAGGTGTGTGCAGAGGATGTGACCTCACACCTGGAGGAAGTGTCTGTTGATCATGGACTGGATGATGACAGCCAAGGCTTTCAGGACCAGAGTCCTGGTTTCCAGCGACGATCTCCACCTCAGCGCTCCGTCTCAGAATCTGAGCTCTCCAGGGTGAGAATAGATTCAAGACTATTACTGTGATCTCAAACGCTAATGACATCTATAATTGCACTACTTAAAAGCAGTGGCGGCTTGTCGGGGGAGGCAGGGGTGGCACAGCTTCCCCGAAATGTTGAGGTGAAAATGGGAGGACGATTTAATGTTAATAAAATTCACCATTCATTTCAGTTCATGTCTCAGAATGTGTATTTTTTGTTTGTAATTTCACAGCTGTAATACCATAACATGTTACTGAAGTTGGAAAGCGCCGCTTTTCTATTGTGAATGAGAAGGGGAGGGGGAGGGGGAGGCCAGGGGAGAGCTGAGCTCTCGTGCCTCCGTTGGTAAAAAAATTAGCCAATCACCATCGAGTGTTCACTTTCAGTGTTGAGAAAAGAAACCTCGTAGGGGAGGCTAGCCTCCATTCTGGTATATCAATCAATCATCATAGAAACATAAATTACGTGCTATTAGTTTGAACGTCTCGCGCTGCGCTGATAATGTACCAAGTACTTATGATAAGTAGCGATATTGAATATTTGATTGCCAACAGATTTACCAAGCTGTCATTCAAACAGTATATACAAATTAAATAAAGGGAGAACATGCCTAAGCTGGATATAGGCTACAGCAGTCGGCTTAATTAAATAGCACAACAGGCAGCTCTCTTTTAACACAGACTTTTAAGAAGGGATGGATGTTTGCTTCAAGTGATAGGCCAGGTAAGTGAAGTTATATTATCTTGCTGTATGTGTGTCGTTTTCTTTACGTGGTCTGACTAAAAGCAACCAAAAAGCCATTTTAAAGTGGTTAAGCAAATAATAATAATAATAATCGGCAGGGATCCCCAGACCAATACAATTAGTGTGCCTCCTCTATTTTAAAACCCACGAGCCACCACTGCTTAAAAGTTTGGGGTCTGGAAGATTTTTTAAAAAGAAGTTTGAAAGAAGTCTCTAATGCTCACCCAGGCTGCAATTATTTGCTCAAAACTTTAGTAAAGTAATATTGTAAAATGTTATGAAATATTATTGTGATTTAAAATAAATTTTCTATTTTAATATTTAGAAATGTAATTTATTCCTGTGATAGCAAAGCTGAATTTTCAGAAGCCATTATACCAGTCTTTAGTGTCACATGATGCTTCAGAAATTATTTTAATATGCTGATTTGGTGCTCAAGAAGCTTTTCTTATTATCAATTTTGAAAACAGTTTTGTTGCTTAATATTTTTTCAGGATTCTTTCAAATAGAAATCTTTTGTAAAATTATTATTATAATTTTTTTTTTTTTTTTAGTGGAGAATATCACAAATTTTTGAGATGCTGTATAAAAAGACTGAATATTTCCTATAATTTACCCCAAAAGCTTCTTATAATTCTTGTTAAATTTGCTTATTATCTTTAATGATTCTTACATGAATAAATATTACAAAAGGAAGAGCTTATCGTGTCACTTGCCATATTGTAAGAACAGCTTGGTTTTCATGTCAATTGTGACTTTTTGCAGTCCAGCAGGACAAGAATCACTGGAACATTTCAGGCATCTGACAAATTATATATTACATAAAGAAATATACAGTGCTGCTTAAAAAGTTTGTGAACCCTTTAGAATTGTCTATATTTCTGCATAAATATAACCCAAAAATCATCAGATTTTCATGCAAGTCCTGAAAGTTGACAAAGAGAACCCAATCAAACAAATTAGATGAAAATATATACTTTGTCATTTATTTATTCAGGAAAATGATCGGCACAAACAAATGAGATCTCTGAGGACCTCAGGAAAAGAGTTGATGTTCATCGGGCTAGAAAAGGTTTCAAAGCCATCTCTAAAGTGTTTGCATGCACTCCACCAATCCACAGTCAGACAGATTGTGTACAAATGGAGGAAATTCAAGACCACTGTTACCCTCCCCAGGACGACCCCAAGCACACAAGTTGTTCTACCAAAGAATGGTTAAAGAAGAACAAAGTTAATGTTTTGGAATGACTGAGTCTAATTCCGGACCTTAATCCAATTTAAATTTTGTGCAAGGACCTAAAGCAAGCAGTTCATCGGAGGAAACCCACCAACATCACAGAGTTGAAGTGGCTCTGTAAAATTCCTACAAGCCTTTGTGCAGGACTGATCAGCAGTTACAAGAAACGTTACTTGCAGTTATTGCTGCAAAAGGGGGTCACACCAGATACTGAAAGCAAAGATTCACAGACTTTGCAGAAATATAGAAAATTCTAAAGGGTTCTCAAACTTTCAAGCAGCACTGTATATAGGACCATTAAGATTTTGTCAGTGATAGAAATCATACTGTCTGGACCAAGTGTTTTTATTTTATTTAGTTATTACAAAATGATAAATCTTTTAACTTTTAGTTTAATGTTCCAAAATAGGCTTTGTTTCTTTATCAAAATATAATTATAATTTTTTTCTTTTGATTTTGAGGTGAAATATAACCCCCCGTTTATACAGTTTCTGTTGCTGTCATTTAATAAGTGATGCAGAGTATGCATTCAGATAAGAGAAGCTGAATTGACAATATCATTTTACATCAGCAAGTGTCAACAAAAGCTAGCATATTTTCTCACTGCATACATTGAACTCACTGGCATTACAAATATTTTTATAGTTAAGCTATTCACCACAAGATGGCACTCTAATGCACAGAGTCTGCTTTGTTGCTCTGATTTAAGCTGTCCATCTGTCTTATTAAACTTTAGTTGAATTTATTGTGAATCATATATAAACTCCTGAGCCGTATATTTGAGAAATAGACAAATTAATCAAATGTTCATTCCATCAAACAATAAAATGCATAAATAAAAACATACATTGTTATTTTCATTGAAGCCATATATTTTTGTCCTTCATCTTTAATAATAAATATTTTTTTTTATATTGATCAACCATTTATATTGATCAACCCAAATCATAAGTCTACAATGACTCTAATATGAGTTCTGACTCCTGTTGTCATAGATGATGATTTTAGTGCTGAGCATTCATATCTTCAAGTCATCATGCTCCGTTGCTATAGTAACATGAAAATTCTTGAATTGTCTAATTACACCAGGGTCAGAATGACTGTGACATTGTGTGTGTGTGTGTTATAATTTAAAAGCTCACTTTTCTTCCCCTCAACATCTCATCTGTCACTCATCTCCATTTAATTGGCTGGGAATCCACCTGCAAAGCCATTCCCACTTGTCTCCTACCTGCAGGAACTCCATCCTCACAACTTCTTAAAATCTTCCGTGAAGTGGAGCTCATGGCGGTATCTCCACTCACACTGCACTTTCAATGCAGTGTAATGTACCTTTATATATTAAACCTCATCAATCCTTTTGCAAGACTCTGTCAGCGATCACGGCTCTGTGGGCCTGCCTTCGCAGCTCAGTGGCAGATATCTTGGGTTAATTAGCTCAGTGCTGTTTTTAGTTGGGCTGTGACTCTCGCCCCACTGGAGGTTGTTTCTACTGACTCAGCATCTGTTTGTTTGCCTGAGCTCTGTCGCTGCTGAATTAGCCTGCTTCCTAAAGGTAGCTTACACTTCAGCTCTCAACAGCGCTGTCACAATGGCCCTTTTTCCAGACGCTCTGAATTCAGCTCACACCACACTCAAATGGCAAGTAGTGGCATTCAAACAGGAGGCAGTCATTAAAGGGATAGTTCACCCAAAAATGACATTTTGTTATTATTTATTCACCCTCCTTGCTCCAAAATATATGACTTCCGTGGAACACATTTAAAAATGTGTCAGTTGCTATTTTTAACGCAATTACAATGAATGGGAACTAAAGCATTTAAGCCTTAGAAAAAGATCACAAATAAAAGTACTCGTGTTTTCTAAGTCTTCTGAAGTTATTTATTCAATGATAATCACTGAGTTGAACTTAATGACCAGATCATTGGTAAATTAATCATTTGACTTGTGTTGTGAAGTGGTTCAGTTTCACATATTTCAGTTTGTTTTTCTCACCAAGGTATCGTATGGCTTCAGAACACTTTGAATCTTGAATGCTTCAATCCTGCTTTATTGTAATTTCATGGAATAAAACAGCCGACACATCCTAATTTCTTTGTTTTCCACAGAAAAAAATTAAGTCATGCAGGTATTAAGGTGAGCAAATGATGACAGAATTTTTATTTCTAGCTGCACTCTTTCTTTAAAAGATGGGGGAAAAAAGAGGGGGGGAAAATCTGCATTTACATTTTCGCTATTTTTTTTTTCTTGCCTAGCCGGGAACTGTGAAGCTGTCCAAACCAGTGGCGCTGTGGAGCCAGCAGGACGTGTGTAAATGGCTGAAGAAACACTGTCCCAATCAACACCAAGTCTACAGTGACTCCTTCAAGCAGCACGACATCACAGGTAAACACAGGCACCCTGTTAGTCTTATAATGATCTTGTCTAAGGTCAAATACCCACAGTTTAGCGTTAACGCATGCATTCAACTTACATTAAGACATTCATAATGGCACTTCCATTAATTGCTACCGGCTCAGCCATGATTGCATTCTGATGTTTATTAGCTCAGTAGGGGTTCCTGTGTAATTGAGGATGCATGTCTGGGGAATTTATGTATGCATGTGTCTTTTTAATGTTGTGTGACCTAACTTGTAGTGATGGATGACTGTACCACGGTTTTTCACATTTTATTGTGTTTTAATGTGTTCCTGCTTCAAGAAGCGTTATAGAGATTAGTTACTTGCATTGTGCAAGCATGGCATCAAAATCCAATATGTTAACATTTTTGAGGTGTTTACTCTTACAGCCCGGTATTATATTATAATGTTATATTTTTTAGAGAAAATGTATATTATTACACTTTATTGCTTTTTTGTACTTTTTAAAAAACAATATATACTATAATTATATCTAATTATAATATAATTATATACAACTTATTACATTTATATATAATCTATTCTTTTGACAACCATAAAATTGCCATTTTTAATTTTTTAAAATACAAATGTTATGGATAACTAAAATTTGTAGTTGGAAATCGGGGTCAATAGTCTTTTAGTCCCAAGATGTCCTTCTTATTATAGTGGGAGATACAGTATACCAAAATTAAAATTTGCAGTCAAATAGTTCATGGAGTGATTTGGTCTGCTTTGTTTATAATCTTGGCTTTCTTTGCAGTAGCATAATCACACAGTGCTGATGAACTGAAGTCCTTTAATCAAGAGCCGTCGTCCCGTAAATGTTCAGTTTCCAAGATCTCTTGATGAAAAGCTCTTGTGGTGATTTATCATGATTTGGCCAGCTGATCTCAATTGTCATGAGTAATGCTGGCTAAAGCAATGTTCTGTCCATTTTGAATTGTTCTAGTTTGATTTGAAGGATTGTGAATGCAATTTGCATTATGGGGATGCGTGATCCAATTAGCCATAATTAATGCAGAAAATATGCAAGCTGCTCGATTTGACAATCTAGTATTAATTAACAGGAATCAGTTCATAAACATCAGGCCTTACCAATTAGAGACACAATGCAATTTGCATCCATCTCTGGTCATACCATGCAGAGCTTAACACATTTCATTAGAGTAAACAGAGATGGATCAGTGCCAAATCACAAGACAGCAGTGTTAAAAACAAAAGCACATTAAACAGGTGCTTACTGGTGTGGCTTTCTTCCATAACAGGGTGTGTATTTGCATGTTGATAATTAAAAAAAAAAAGAAAAAAAAATCTCAATGATTGAGATGCTGATCATTTGTACATCAGTTGAATTCTATACATCTGCAGTATTCTCTAATATTGAGCTAATGAATTATATTATGTGATTAATTGTTTCTTCTTCTTCTTAACAACAATTTATTATTATTAAAAACAACAATGTAATAAAACATAATAAAAACAAATATAAAAAACATTGCAGTAAACAAAAACAAAATATATGACTTTTCTAAATTTTTCTAAAGTTCTCTTTAACTGTGCCTAAGAATGTCTTTAGCCATGGTCTCTGAATTATTTTGAATTATCTTCGCTTCAGATTAAGCCATGCATCTGAGAATTTGCATGTCATTTAGGTATATTTTTTAATTTATATTTTAATTTAACTTTAATTTAATTTATAATAATTATGGCTGTGCAACCATTTTCGTGATTGTTTCAAAAGGATTAAAAAATGATGCATCCATCAGAGCTTCAAGGGATATGGATTTATACAGTGAAGCCTCTGGAACTGGTATTGATTTATCACTGTCTTCATCAGATCACATTTTAGAGTCCATTCATTCTGAAATTCAGAGGATTTTTCAAGTATTTGTAAACACTTTCATTCAGCTGTACATGCTTCTATCAAATCAGGCAGCCTCAAATACAGCTTTAAGAGAGAATGAAAAAACTATTAAGTTACCTAATTACTTACTACTAAGTGTCAGTTTGTTTCTGTTTGAACCAGAGCATAGTAAGATAAACCTTTCCATCGCCAACATACGACTGTTGAGATTCTCTCTCACCGCTTCGACACATTTCCCAAATCGCTCTGAGAGTTTGACTGGAACACCGAGCTGTCATTAAAAATGCATTAAAGCATATTAAGGCATAATTAGATATTAGTCCCTATTCTGCAGTAATTACAAAGACAGAGGCAGCGAGTGCTTCGGTAAATGAGTTAAGCACATATTTTTGATAGCATAGGTGTAATCAGGGGAGAAGGTGCACTCATTCTGTGTAATATACAGCCATAGGCGGAGGGTGAACCAACTCCAGGGTAAGGCTAAAAGTAGCCTAATGTTAGTGCAATCTATTAACTACAAACATCATAAACTCGTCTTTTTAGGCAAGTACCTGATATGGGTTTCATGTAGGCTAATAAAATATTTTTAATAGGACTGAATTTGTATTTAACATGATCACAATTTAATAAAAAATGTAAGTTGCTAATTATAACATTTTAATTTCCAGAGTTATTCAAACAGCGAATAAATTATATACAGAAAGCAAGTGAAGAACATTATCACTAACTTCGATCTATCGCGAGTTTAAGCACTCACACAAAAAAAAAACTATCGTTATAATCACTGATGCTGTCTACACTGTCTACCAGCCTTACACATGCCTATGTATACAGCCAAGAAGATGAGAGAGAACGACTGAACCAGAGCTGCTCTGTCAGATACAATGAAACTCTGGGCTGGATTTCAAATAGATATCAATCCCATGGGCCACAGCACAGTAAGGTTATGAAAACACAACAGTATATAACACCACAATTAATTGTAAGTTAAGTAACCAGCTGTTGTTAGACAGATAATGGCTAATTGGACATTAAAATGAGATATTCATTCATGAACTGTAGTTAGTGTTGTGCCACTATATGTAATCAAGGTCTATTATAAGACTGTGAATGTCAGATCTGTTTAATGGATGACAGTGCAAACAGCAAAAACCATATTAAATGGAATTTTCAATTAAAATCTGGGCCTTATTCAAAATTGAACAAATACTGGATATTTATAACATTTTTTGCACCATAACATATCAGTTAAAACAGCCAAGTCAGAATTATTGCATTTTTGTTGTTTATTTTTAAAGCAATTTAATAATTGTGCCCTTGATTTACTGTAAAGAATATGTAGGACTGTGGTGCAATGTCAAGGCATTAGTTATTCATATTTTAAGAATTTTATATTATGAATAAATAGATTTTTTTAAATGAGCAAAATAAATATGTATATATTATTAATGAATTATAATAAATAAAACACAATAATAAATACCAGGGTTGGGTGTTTTAGACTAAGTCAATTTAGTTGTGTGGCCTCTTCAGTCTATTATGTGGCACATTTAAAAAGTCATGTGAGCAAGCATAACAGAATACTGGATTTAAGCAACAAAATCTGAATTTGGTACTTTTACTTATGGTGTGACTGTAACCCAAGTGTCCATTTTTGAACCATGTTTCACAGCAGTTATGGAAAATGCCACTGTTCGGTCTGGTGTGGGAATTGGCAGCATCATCAGATCATACTCTAGGCCTAAATCCTCCCGTTTCATGATCATTGGATCATTCTATGGTTTTACAGGAAAGAAAGGAAAGTTTGACATCTTCTGTTGACGGGATAAATGAATCCAGCTGGGATGTTCCTAGGAAGCTGGCTCTTCTTGTGTTTCCACATGCACTGGACAGTCAATGTCTGTGCAGGAGTTCTGGCTCGCTGCTGGTCAGATCATTCCAGAGAATACTGGGTGTGGTGAGACATTGGGTTTATTTATTTGACTTTAATAAGAGTTATAAACAACTCATGTAAAAGAGACTCCCATCAGGCAGCACACAGGTGGTCTTGGCGTAGTATATGAGCTTTTTTTATGGACTATATACAGTGGGTACGGAAAGTATTCAGACCCCCTTAAATTTTTCACTCTTTGTTATATTGCAGCCATTTGCTAAAATAATTTAAGTAAATTTTTTTTCCTCATTAATGTACACACAGCACCCCATATTGACAGAAAAACACAGAATCGTTGACATTTTTGCAGATTTATTAAAAAAGAAAAACTGAAATATCACATGGTCCTAAGTATTCAGACCCTTTGCTCAGTATTTAGTAGAAGCACCCTTTTGATCTAATACAGCCATGAGTCTTTTTGGGAAAGATGCAACAAGTTTTTCACACCTGGATTTGGGGATCCTCTGCCATTCCTCCTTGCAGATCCTCTCCAGTTCTGTCAGGTTGGACGGTAAACGTTGGTGGACAGCCATTTTTAGGTCTCTCCAGAGATGCTCAATTGGGTTTAAGTCAGGGCTCTGGCTGGGCCATTCAAGAACAGTCACAGAGTTGTTGTGAAGCCACTCCTTCGTTATTTTAGCTGTGTGCTTAGGGTCATTGTCGTGTTGGAAGGTAAACCTTCGGCCCAGTCAGAGGTCCTGAGCACTCTGGAGAAGGTTCTCGTCCAGGATATCCCTGTACTTGGCAGCATTCATCTTTCCCTCGATTGCAACCAGGCGTCCTGTCCCTGCAGCTGAAAAACAC